ATTCGTCCTACGGGGTATTTGGGGAGAACCACATCTGTCGAGGTGGCGGTATTCGTCCTACGGGGTATTTGTCCGGGATGGCTTCAGTCACCCGAAAGTGCAGTCGCCCGACTCCCCAGTTGACCCGAAAGTGTAGTCGTCCGAATTCGTAACTGACCCGACTGAGCCGTTCTCGGTGGGCTTCGGCGCTAGGGATACGTAAAGAAAATTTTATCGGAATAGATTGGGAACGTATACGTGAGAAAAGTTTTATTCGTAATACTAGCTGGTTGTGCGATTTCATTTGAAGTTGGTTATGTTAATGGTTTGGTCTGGTCAGACTGGTTAGTCCATTTTGTTAGATCATAATAAATTTTATCTATGTATTTATATGAGCGAAATACCACTCACTAACTGACTAGCTACGAAATCTCCGAAACTATACGTCCGATTGACTTGAAAATTTGCGTAAATTAATACCGTATGATCGAAAAAAAACGGCGTCCAGTTGTCTGGGAAATGACGACCGACGACATTTCCCATATAAAATGACAGCGATCTTCATTTCATAGCCATCGTTGACGCCGTTTTTTCTGGATCATACGGTACATTATTGATGTTGTGATCAATTAACTTTATTTCTTATTTGAATATAGCTTGCAGGTATACTTGTATATGAATTATTATGCAACTTTTATTACTTTGACAAAAATAGGAAAAACCATAAAAAATAAGTTCCATAAATATAAATTAAACATATCGTCCTATTAGCGCCAAAAAAAAACACTTAAAAATTAATGGAAAGGCACCAATCAATCTTTACCTACTTTAAGTTCGGTATTTCGTTCAATAATATCCAGTATTTTTAAAATTAAATATTTGAAAAAAAACGTTTCCGGACATGTTTATATACCTAGATATTTAATAATAAAAATTGGTGACGAATCACCTCCTGAAGGTGAAGGTTGGTTACATACCATTGCGATAAAAAAAGTAGTACAACAAAATATGATTTAATCTGCTGGTCTATAATAAAATATTAAAAATTGCCCATTTTTAAAAGATAGGTAAATTTTTTATACTTTTATCTCGCCACGTATACCTACCAATTATTACCAAATTCATGGTAACGCCTAAAAATTTAGGTGGTTTACGTTTAAGAATTAGGCCTCGCCGCGCGCCATTTACCTTTAAGTTAGGGTACAAATATGCAACTGTTAAAGGCGCACTTGATTTTATCAAGTATTGTTCCTACCAGCGGGGGCTAAAGTTTCATTGGGGTCTGTGTGGCACAACCACGACAAGAATGTTTCATTATTATAGGATGGTGGGTAGTCTAAAAAGTGTGCCTTACTGGGACGCTAATTTTGGGGAAGTATTAATTGAGTGGTTTGATGAACTTAAAGAGGCTTAAGTGTGATGAATACCATCGAGACATTGATTTTTCTCCGAAGCGAGTAACCATAACTCCGATTCTGAATCTCTTACTTATAGAAGAGAGAAAATTGAATAATCAATACCAGAAAAGAAAGAGTTGTGGTATATGGCAACCATATGTCAATGAAGAAATGACAAAAAACAAAAATCTCATGAATCAAATGTGCACGATCTATGTGCGGCAAATGCAGATCCTATATTAGCATGAACTGTATTTGAAAAAGTTATGTACATTCAAGGTTTGCAGTTTTGCTGAAAACAATTTATGTTTATTACTTTAGCTTAACATTTCAGTTGTTTGTACTTTTAATAATACGGTAAAATCATAAAATATATATGTTTTTAATTTCTATGGGTTTCTTAGCCAAGTTATACCTATTTCTGTTATCAAAAATTCCTAAAAAATGCGTTTTACTTTATGTTTGTGTCCGTTCTTATTAATTTGTTGAAAATTAATGAAATTGTTTGTTCACAAGTTTGAATATATTGTAAACAGTGTTAAAATCACAAGCTTTTTATAAAATCTCTTCATCATGTATATTTTAAACTGAAAAAAAATTGGGGTCCGTCGGACCCCAGCACGCCATAAGCGTTACCACCACGCCATCGCGCCAGTTGAGGGTTAATTAACACCCATTAGCGTAACTAGCAATTTATCCTATCCAGGGGTGGGCATGGGGGGGCCTAGGGCTTTTTTAAAAATGAAAAATAATTTTAAAAAACACATTTTTTGAATAAAACGTTTACATGAATTTCTCTATCAATAAATTTCATAGACTTGGATATCAAACCGTGTTTCCGTAGATTACTGAAATACCTACAAATTTTCTAAAAAAATAGAAAAACACATTTTTTGAAGACAACAAAATAATATTAACTAAACAAAACTAGAATACGTCATTTTTACAGTATCGCAAGCAAATAAAAATTAATACGTAGCCAAGAGTCATAATTCAGGATTTCTCTGGGGGGTGCCCAGCACTTCCTGGGGGGGGCCGGCACCCCCGGTCCCCCCTGTGGTTACGCCAATGTTAACACCCGGTATATTGAAGTTCTTCGGCATCATAGCCTTCTAAATATACTTTGTGATCGAATTTTCAAAAATGTTAAGTAATTTTCGTAGTAAGTTATCGTGTAGTATTAAAAATAGAAATAATGGGACAAAGGAAAAAAAACACAAATAATAAAATAAATAATACCATTATCCTTTATTATTACACAATCCTAATGGACATAATAAATACGAAGATTTTTAGGATTTCTGAAAAAAAATAGGTTTTGGTTGACCCACATCATGTTTAAACATGTTTCCAAAATGAAAGCTCCATCTTGCCTAATAAGAGGAAAAAACTTGCTCCCATTCAAATAAAAAAAGGTTACGGACCCTTGTAGAAAAAAAACTTTCTGTTCTACAACAACTTTTAATACTCTACAATGCTCTAATTCGTACATCTCTGAAGTGTTTCTCTCACGTGTGGAGCTCCGCCCCAAGCAAAAAATAAGTGTATTTACTTTTAACCAGATGGATAGAAGTTCCACGTTAAGTAAAAAAACGATGTCGTGTGCCAAGGGTTAAAGTGAGGGGCAACTAGAAATAGAAAATGTAAAATAAAATTTTATTCTCTAAATAATTTAAAAAAGTGTATTTACCTTTAACCAGAGGGATAGAAGTTCCACGTTAAGTAAAAAACAATGTCGTGTGCCATGGGCTAAAGTGAGGGGCAACTAGAAAGAGAAAATGTAAAATAAAATTTTATTCTCTAAATAATCTAAAAAAAGTGTATTTACCTTTAACCAGAGGGATAGAAGTTCCACGTTAAGTAAAAAAAAACAATGTCGTGTGCCATGGGTCAAAGTGAGGGGCAACTAGAAAGAGAAAATGTAAAATAAAAATTTTATTCTCTAAATAATTTAAAAAGTGTATTTACCTTTAACCAGAGGGATAGAAGTTCCACGTTAAGTAAAAAACAATGTCGTGTGCCATGGGCTAAAGTGAGGGGCAACTAGAAAGAGAAAATATAAAATAAAATTTTATTCTCTAAATAATTTAAAAAAGTGTATTTACCTTTAACCAGAGGGATAGAAGTTCCACGTTAAGTAAAAAACAATGTCGTGTGCCATGGGCTAAAGTGAGGGGCAACTAGAAAGAGAAAATGTAAAATAAAATTTTATTCTCTAAATAATCTAAAAAAAGTGTATTTATCTTTAACCAGAGGGATAGAAGTTCCACGTTAAGTAAAAAAAAACAATGTCGTGTGCCATGGGTCAAAGTGAGGGGCAACTAGAAAGAGAAAATGTAAAATAAAATTTTATTCTCTAAATAATTTAAAAAAGTGTATTTACCTTTAACCAGAGGGATAGAAGTTCCACGTTAAGTAAAAAACAATGTCGTGTGCCATGGGCTAAAGTGAGGGGCAACTAGAAAGAGAAAATGTAAAATAAAATTTTATTCTCTAAATAATCTAAAAAAAGTGTATTTACCTTTAACCAGAGGGATAGAAGTTCCACGTTAAGTAAAAAAAAACAATGTCGTGTGCCATGGGTCAAAGTGAGGGGCAACTAGAAAGAGAAAATGTAAAATAAAATTTTATTCTCTAAATAATCTAAAAAAAGTGTATTTACCTTTAACCAGAGGGATAGAAGTTCCACGTTAAGTAAAAAAAACAATGTCGTGTGGCCATGGGCTAAAGTGAGGGGCAACTAGAAAGAGAAAAAGTAAAATAAAATTTTATTCTCTAAATAATTTAAAAAAGTGTATTTACCTTTAACCAGAGGGATAGAAGTTCCACGTTAAGTAAAAAACAATGTCGTGTGCCATGGGCTAAAGTGAGGGGCAACTAGAAAGAGAAAATGTAAAATAAAATTTTATTCTCTAAATAATTTAAAAAAGTGTATTTACCTTTAACCAGAGGGATAGAAGTTCCACGTTAAGTAAAAAACAATGTCGTGTGCCATGGGCTAAAGTGAGGGGCAACTAGAAAGAGAAAATGTAAAATAAAATTTTATTCTCTAAATAATTTAAAAAGTGTATTTACCTTTAACCAGAGGGATAGAAGTTCCACGTTAAGTAAAAAATAATGTCGTGTGCCATGGGCTAAAGTGAGGGGCAACTAGAAAGAGAAAAAGTAAAATAAAATTTTATTCTCTAAATAATTTAAAAAAGTGTATTTACCTTTAACCAGAGGGATAGAAGTTCCACGTTAAGTAAAAAATAATGTCGTGTGCCATGGGCTAAAGTGAGGGGCAACTAGAAAGAGAAAAAGTAAAATAAAATTTTATTCTCTAAATAATTTAAAAAAGTGTATTTACCTTTAACCAGAGGGATATAAGTTCCACATTAAGTAAAAAACAATGTCGTGTGCCATGGGCTAAAGTGAGGGGCAACTAGAAAGAGAAAATGTAAAATAAAATTTTATTCTCTAAATAATTTAAAAAAAGTGTATTTACCTTTAACCAGAGGGATAGAAGTTCCACGTTAAGTAAAAAATAATGTCGTGTGCCATGGGCTAAAGTGAGGGGCAACTAGAAAGAGAAAAAGTAAAATAAAATTTTATTCTCTAAATAATTTAAAAAAGTGTATTTACCTTTAACCAGAGGGATAGAAGTTCCACGTTAAGTAAAAAACAATGTCGTGTGCCATGGGCTAAAATGAGGGGCAACTAGAAAGAGAAAATGTAAAATAAAATTTTATTCTCTAAATAATCTACAAAAAGTGTATTTACCTTTAACCAGATTAAACTAAAAATATAATTGTGTTGGCGCATTGTTTATTGATTTGCGGCAAAAAGCACATAATGGATTAACCAGGTCCAGTATTCTTTCTGCACACGAAACACAAACCATGTGACCACATTCAAATGTAACCTGCTTTCTGTTTATGTAGCACACGTTACACCTCATGGATAAGTGCAATGTACCATCATAAGGTGTGTCTTGCACTGATGGGGTCCAAGCTGTAAGAAAAAATTTGGTTATTTATTGAATCGTAAAATTAGAAACTATCCACTTGCCTACTCTGGGAATAGGATTTTCGTATACATTATCCTCATCCTCCGATTCGATCAAATAATCGGGTGTCGGGGGAAGTGGGATATTTGGTAGAGGGGAAGGAGGATTGGTTGGGGAAGGGGAATGAATCGGGGTATCAGGAAATTCAACCATTTCTGGTTCAGGTAAGTGGGGCGAACTTGGACGTGAGTTAGGAGAATTACCAGGAGAGGATAAAATAGAGGAAGAAGAGTTATCAGGTGAATAATGAGGTCGGAAAAATGAGGTAGAAGGTAAAGGAAAAGAGTTGGGGGGTAAGTAAGACGAAGATGGAATTGGAGAAAAAGAGTTAGAAGGTAAATGAGGGGGTAGGTACGAAGAGCTAAACGTCATTAAAGGAGAATTAGGTGTTAAGTTCGAACAAGATGGAATTGGAGACGGTGAGTTATTTGGTACGGTAGAGTGGGTAGGAGGAGGAGGGGTAGGGGGTTCAAAAACAGGCTCCTGAACAACTGCCACAGAATAATTTACAGGGGGATGAAAATAATAAAGTGGTGGAGGTTCATTAGAAGCAGGAGCTGGAGCAAGAGCAGGGGCAGGAGCTGAAGCTGGAGCAAGAGCAGTGGCAGGAGCTGGATTTTCGCAGGGTGGTGGGAAATATACAAGGGGGGGTGGTTCGTTTAGGGCAGGTGCCGGGGCAAGAGCACCTGCAGGGGCAGGGACAGCAGCAAGGGCAAGTGGCAATGGCACTGGTTGAGGCTGCACCGGAAAATTTGCCAAATTAATGAGGTCCCTCTCTTCACCTTCATCTGGCAAATTATCGTTCCACGCATGAAGTTGCTGGTCGAGACCTTCAACAAAATGTACCGACTGACGCAGAAAATCCTCGACAGTAAATCTACCGTCCGAGAGTTTGTCCCAGGCTTGATTCAGTCTCAAGTCAAAGACCCTGTTTTTGGTGCATACTCGAAATACCCTTCTTTGTTGTTCTAGCTGCTTAAACTCTAGAACTGCGATATTTTGAATATCTATAAGTGTTTCTGAAACGAGTTTATATTAGGTATGTTATAAGGTTATTAAAAATTATAAATAGTTACCCATAAGATCCCATACACCTGGATGCTGGACAAGTTTGCTGTTAAGTCGTCGATGATATGACTCCATAACGTTATTAGTCCGGTGTGTACATTTAAATACACTGAAGTGTTCTGGGGTAACCCTATTTATCCACTGCCTCCTCAGATATTCAAAAAGTGGCCTGAATATCGCACCTAGTTCTATATCCCTTTGAGTTATAAAAAAAATAATAAATTGTGCTCGTTGTAAAAGTAATTAAAAATTATTACCTGCAATGTTTCGAGTGTATTAATTATCATGCCAGGAGGAAGCAGAGCCAATGAATAGACCTTCTTTAAAAGAATTCTTCCATTGGGATTTGCCTCAATAGCCCTACAAATTCCTAATTGCTTAGCCTTTCGTAGGACCGCCTGAAAAAAATGTAATATACTCGTATATGGCATAAGTACAAGGAGATCCGCTATATTTTATTCTGTTATGGGATGTAAAAATTTTTTATTACCTGGCAATAATGGAAAAAACAACCATGTAACATTGTATTAGGGTAGGTATTTCTCAAAGACTCAACCAGTGTAACCTCGTAGTCTGTAACAATATTTCCATTTAAAAAATTTGGAAAATGTTGCTGTATGTACGCAAATACTGCATCGTACAATGATTTCATCCGACTTTCCATGAAAACATGGATTACCGGAAAAGCCTGAAAGCAATTAACAATAATAATTAATACGATGTAATTCTTAATACCCATAATAAAAGGTATGCATTCGTTCCATTATAACATTAATTATTATAATTATTCATATTTTATTATCAATAAAAACTTACGTGTTCCATTGCCGATGCAAATATAGTAAGTATTTGTGCAAAATGCGGCATCCTCGGGACAGCCCTAAAGGTGCCATCCATAAATGAATGGCGTGATCCTGCGAACTCTCCCACAAATTGAGGGTTTCCAAAGATAATCGCATGGCTGTTATTAACAGAGACAATCCCTGCATAAAAAGGCCCCTCGCAGCAAGTAGAAAATCTAGGAAACTCCCCGGATGCGCATATTTCAGCAAACGTTTCCAAATTTTGGGGAATATTAGGAGTGTTTGTTCTCCTCCACCTAAGCATGGCACTTCTAATTGAATTGTACGGCACATGTATTGCAGCATCAGGATATCTGAAACGTAAATATGAATGATATCATAATGAGTAAAGTAATGCTTTTTGACCAAATAAAATAATTTTGTACACATTGTTTCTGGTAACTATGTGATTTCCCTCGAAAGATGATAAAATTCCATATAATTAAACACCATTTATCACCTTAAAGGTGCCTACCAAGAGTCCTAACCGAAGTTGAAACTAAACAAAGTTTTAAAAATTTATGTTTTTTTAGGATAATAGAAATGGGCATAAATAATACAAAATATTACGGCATTAAATTTATCTACAGAGTAATATTAGGAATTTACCCACAAACTTTTTTGTATTAAAAAACTTAGGTACTAAAAGTAATTAAACTGTTCAATTTGAGACATTTTTGTTCGTTTTTATTTGATTTATATATTTGTACCATATACCTAATTGTTTAGAAGTTACTTTGACATGTCTTCTAAAATACTCTTTTTTGTAATTTCTGTTAATGTCATACAAAAAAAGTAAGGACAAACATAAAGTAATAATTTTGACTCAAAAATATTGTACCTACCTAATTTATTTTATTCTAAATCATAAAGATCTCCCCTCCAAAGGATTACATAGTTTTCGAAAACATCCTGTATTTAAGTGATATCTGCTAAGAAAATAGTAAAAAAATAAACTTATTTACCTCACTGCCACCCTCTCATAAATATTTTTTAAACTGCCCCTTTCCTTTATAGAGGCTTCCCTTAAAGCGTTCTTAACCAATATACCCTGATGCTTGCCCCTCGGTACAGGGTGGTTGTGGACGCCTTTAATCGGCGTAAAATGCCCCTCAGCCTCTATTTTGCCCGTCGCCTTACAATCCAATGTTTTGGAAAAAGTACAAACCAAATATCTAAAACCCAGTAATTAAATAAATAAACTAGATGATATTGTTTTATAAACATAGCGGAGGAAATTAAAAAAAAGTTTTGTAATATTTTTATATTAAATTACGATAGATACTGACCTGGAAAGGTTTATTTTTTATGAATAATAAACTTGAAAAAGGCTATTGTTACCAAATAAAATAAAATAAAATTCACACTTTGTTTTTATTATTGTTAGGAGGGGCGTCAAAAAAGTTAAAGTTATAAAGCCTAACAGAGACGCTAGTGCGCCTTTTTCCTATTTATTTTATACCTTATTGATGAAATAATTCGTAGGAAACTGTAACACTTTTAATCGTTTTTTTTTAATTTTTATACATATTTATTTTTACTTTTTACATATTTATTATTGATTAATACAATTTTTAGTAATGTGTTTATTCATTTTTTTTAAATTATTTATACGCGCATTCAAAATGTCAGCTAAATCGGAAAAAAGTTTAAAATTTAAAATAATATAGTGTCTAATGTTGTATAATGAATGGTACGGAACCCTTCGTGCGCGAGTCCGACTCGCACTTGACCAATTTTTTAGATGAACATGCCGTGGTAAGGGTCTGCATGTACCCTATGCTTTCGACATCCCTCTTAATGTTAACCTAATTTAGGGTATTTATGTAAACTTTGTTGTAAATTCAATCTTGTTTAAAATTTAAGCATTAAAAATCTGCTTACCTTACATCCCCTTTTAACTTATTTAAGTGGTAGGTGTACCCCTCATGGCAAACGACCCGTTGAAATCTTGAACGATCCATTTTTATTTTAATACTCTAAATAATTTATCGGCAAAATGTAACACAAAGAGCACACTAATCGCAAGAAAAAAACACTAAAAAATACGTCTTCAGACTTTCTTCTTGCTAGTTAATTTTCACACAGATAGTGGCGGTCGTGAATTTAATTCTTATTGGTGATTTCAGTATCAATAAATAAGCATTCAAATATCCCGAATGTAAAATATTATTAGCTAAGGTTCGTGTCAGCGAATCTAAGATGTAAATTGTCGATATAGGAATCAGCATTATTTTGTTTTGCTTATGAAAGTTTTTCAGATACCATTTAGCTGTTTGTACCTTTATTCGGCGTAGTTAAGTTTGTTTATGTTAAAGGGTATTATGTTTATGCTAACGGTATTATGAACCTTGGCAGATGAAATTTATAATTAAAATTTAAACACAAAATGGATCTAAAATAATTAAAAGACATAATTTTTTCATTTTTTATAAGAAATAACGAAAATAGTCTATAAATACCAATTGGGCAGTAGCTGACAGTTCAGACTTGACCAAAACTGTAAATTGAAGTAAAAATCAGTGAATTTTTAAAATTTGGTGATTTATTCTTATTGATTTTTTTCTGAAACCTAAAACTTATTTATTCACTTAATATTTTGCTGTACCTTAAAATGTGTTTTTTTTTTATTTTAAAATATATCTAAATGCATAGTTTGGCTTACTGAATTTATGTAACGATTGTTACCGAAAACATATTTTTTAATTTATTAAAATTCTATTATTTAATATCAATACCCAATCATGCCAGCCAAAGAGAGTTTCGCGATAGCTAATCAAATATAACAAATATATTTAACCATTCGTTGAAAGTTAAATAAAAAATATTATTTATTTTTGTAACGATAGTTACAATAGTTTCAAATAAATATTCTAATAATAAATTATTCAAAGAAATTAGTGAGCGTTCAAGGGTTACGCAATGCAGTTTTTCGGAATTTCTGACCCCTTCCCCACTTATAATTTCGAAATTACGCGTTACCGTTATATAACATTTGGCATGCCCCTCCCCTTAATGCATACGTAATACTTGAATGCACCTTTAACTATATTAGTAATTTTTCCAAGTACACATATTATGTATTGCCACTATCAAGTGGGCCATGCCTGAGTCAGCGGGAGAACATACTATCATAAACAATTAAATACCATGTAATTTTTTTACCAGGACAATATGTTAAAAACTGACATATAATATTTGGAAGTTTCCTTCAATAATTTTGTTTAGGGCGCTTTCATACAATTACTTGTTATAATTCGTTTTGGTTGTGTTATTAGAAAGGTTTAAGTTTATGTGCAATATATCGTTTTTTTAACTAATCAATGTGCAGGTCTGGCTTTGCTCAACCCACGACCCCTGTAACCCAACCATAATTTTGGCCAACTACTTAACTGCTACTTTAAATATTGAGAAAGAAAATATAACTTGTATTTCATTTATAATTATGCTAAAAGGCTGAACATCTTATAAGGAATTCAGTGGCAACAGAAGCAAGCAACATTGAAATCCAATAGTAATTCATAATCCTTGAACCTTTAGGTGTATAACAGTAAGAAATATTTTGTTTTGCAAGTTAACATATTAAAATGAAAACAACATATAAAATAAATAAAATAAAATAATCTTTATTACATGCACAAACAAAAGAGTACGGTATACCAGGAGTACATATAAAGGTGGAAAGTACCATGACTTTTAAGAAAACGTGCAGATGTAACGATAGTTACCATGGAATACCCCTTAAGTTTATAGTCTTAAACATACTTCTTACTTTTTACCTTACGGACGCTATGAATCAGGCATTACAATTTATACAATTTATTAAATAATTATATTTTTGTCACTTATACATCCTTACAATAAAAAAGTTATGAAACAGTTTTCCTAACCTTTACGTTTATTTACATGGGTCATAAATTTTAAAAATAAACAAAACTTGAATGAACTTTCAGATTTAAGAGAAAAATGGTTAAATGTATATAAAAGGGCAGACTTTACAAAACTACACTTTATCCTTACAAAATAGATTTTCTTCAGTCTTGTATTCAACTAGTTTTGTAGTTTTAGGAATATTCCACGCTGCTAAAACATCAGTGCAAGACTCTCCATCGGCTGTGGCCAAAACTATGGAGGCCTTAATTAAAATTGTAGAATCAGCTTCAGCAACATTTACAGTTACCTTGTTTAATTCTGCTTATACATATATTGCATTAATTTTTCTGCTACCTTAAGATTTCTTTACTCTTACACCTAATTTATGTGATTTTCTTAGCATAATATGATTTATAAACCATATTTTTCCTAATGGAAGGATGGAATAGGATATGCAAAATTAAGATATTTTAACATTTATTTTCCAGACAAAGAATAATATAGTATTAAGATTAAGACATAAAAAATATTATAAGAAAGATCTTAATTTAAATCACAAACTAATTACAAACTAATCTTAATTTGGTCTTGTATAAACACAGCTATAAAACTAATAAGATCAAAACTCAACCTTCACCATATTGTCAAGATTTGACATTATAGGTAACAAGAAATTACAGTTAATTAAGAAAAGAATATCAAAGTACACGATATTAAATGCTGTAATGTATTCTACGACACAAACCATCTCCCTTCTAAAGAGAAAAAGATAAAACATAAAGCTTATTCAGCTTATTTTAGTCTTATCAACACACTCTTCGATAAAATACATGTCTAAAATTGCTATTAATCCACTAACTTGATATTTTTAAGAAATTATGATACAAACATTATAATCAAAGTATATTATATTAGTAACATTATAGGTAAGATGTTACCTCTATCTCCCATTGACGTGTATTGTTCTATAAGACTCGTCATGGTAGTATTTCAAAACATCAATACATATAATCAAAACTATTGTTGCCTGTAAATAACTAGAAATTAGATAACTTGAAAGAAATAAAATAATTCTAATAAGTTTAAAACCATTAAGAAAAAATCCGTACATGATAATTTTTAATTCTAATGTAAATATATAAATAAATGTTATTATTATTAGAATTTTATATATTCACAATATTTTCATTTCACAATCTTCATTATCCTTCTTACCTTAATTTTGAATATCAAGATAAATCTGAAATGATAAAATTAATTATAGAATTTGTATTATTATTGATTAACAGCAATTAACAGTCAAAAAAAATATTCAACTGCAAATAATTCCAAAATAAACTGCAATTTGGCAACATCGACGATGTGCGCTTGCGTAGTATCGATGATCAAATGCAGCAAATATGGGCTTCAAGGTCAGCCACCGGATCCACACCTTATGCCGGTAATGGTGTGGATCCGGTGGCTGACCTTGAAACGAGTTTTTGCTGCATATAGTCCTAGACACTGCGCATGCGCACATCTTCGATGTTGCCAGATTGTGAGTAATTTTGGAATTATTTTCAGTAGAAAACAAATATGTGCTTTTCAGTGTTTTTTGTCAATATATACCATAAGATTGAAAAAACGGCGTTCAGTTGGCTGGGAAATGACGATTAAGGACATTTCCCATATAAAATGACAGCGATTTTCATTTCATAGTCATCGCTGGCGCTATTTTTTTTTTCAATCATAGTACGCGGCATATTATTTATTATTTTAATATTTCGTACAACATGTGAACGCTTATTATGTATTTTCATAGTCAATAAAATTATATAGAAATAAAACTCTAGATTCCTATCTAGATTATTATGCTACGTTTAAAAAGTGCTTTATTAAAAATTCGGGAAATTAAAAATGATGTGTCCAAGTTTTTTCTTTTAATTTTTAAATGCTGTAGCTCCATGTCATGTTCATAATAGGTTTTTTTAACATTACATCAAAACTACGGAGGCCTTAAAAGGCCTTTTAGCCTCCGTAATTAAAATTGTAGAATCAGCCTTCAGCA